ACTACAGTGCTTGTGAAGGCCACGGTGGTTGAATGCATTTAATCGCCTGCTTGTTTACAAGCTGGGGTTGTTGTTTTTTTGATTTTTCCCGTTTCTTTTTCAGTGTGCGTGTATCTCTGAGAGGTCGAGCGCGTCGGTGGGCTATGTTCAGAGTTAAGCACAGCTTTGTTGAATTGAATGTGGGGGTGGGGGGAAAGTTAAATAATTGGCGTGCGAAGAGCTTGGATGGAGAGGGAGCATGGTTTGATCAGGCCTAGAAATGAAGCCAAGAAATGGGTCTGGAGGGAGCGCATGGGGCCTGCTTTCTACCTCTCACTGACCTCCGACAGTTGGGTAGTTATTAATGTAACTAGCCTGCTCTACCTAGGATCTAAAGGCTCATCTGCTTTGGGATCCAGATTCAAATACTGTTTGCTAATTAGAAATATATCGGCGCCGGTAGATATGGTGCTCTCAAAAGTTACAGAGGGGAGGAGTGACTAATTTTTAAGGTGCTGCTCCTTAAACAGAAGTGATATTAAAACAATCTCTAGCTCCTGGAAGAGTGACCCTGTCAAGTTACTGAAATGATGGAACAGTAGTTGGGTTATTAGAAGGAAAATTGGCACAAATTGAGAGTGAGGATGCTCGGGCAGCATCCACAAGCAGCCAGCCACTCACTGGCTTCATCTGTGCCCTCCGGCTGCTCTCCGCAATATAGATGACACCTTGTCAGTGATTAAAATGATGTGATGGGTCACCTGTGAGTCCAGTGGGCTAAATTGGCCATAGAGGGGGGACACACTGCAATGCAGAGGCAGCTGCCCACGTAACCTCATTTTTTTTATATATCATCGGGGTACTGACAGCAATTGTCATGGGACTCCGCTCTCATTAGTGTCCCCTAGACAAGGCTCCCTTTGTGCTTGTGCCTTCAAGAAATAGTAGAGGCCTTAAGCTTTTGAGACGATAGGCTTGTTTTCTCTTGGAAGGAAAGTTTCGTGTGGTTTTTCTTTTGCTTTATTTCCTGAGTAACAGGGCCGGGCAGGGGGAGGATGGGGGAGGAGGAGTTGAGCCACTTCCGCTGAGTGCTATATCCTGCGCGCTGGCAAAATCGAGCAACAAAAGGGCTTATTATCATTGCTGACGAATGGGTCTTATCTGAATACAGAATGTTTTCCCAGCAAGTGAAAGTAAAGATTGGGGTTTCCCAGAGGTCTTCCTAAATTGAGGGGTTTTACTAGCGGATCACAACATTGGTTCACCTAATTCAAAAATCGGATTGCTGTGTTTTTCCCTCTTCCCTAAAACAGGCTGTGCAATAGCTGAACGTTAATGCAGTTGTTTTCGTAGGGCTGTGATTCTCAATGCATCCTTGGAGTATACTTTAGTGATTGGTTTAATAAAAGAGTTGAGTTCTCCTCCTGCCCTCTGTTGTTTTCTTCAGTTTATTTGTCTTCAGTGCCTTAGTTGTTGGCGGGGGGACCGGAGGGACGACAGCATGTTAAACGTTACAGCAAAAAAAAAACCCTAAAGGATAACATGGGACCAATCCTAAAAGATTCGTTTTACTATCTTTCCATAATGGACTGGATGGGAATTGAGGGGTTCCTTCTAGGACGCATTTACTACCTCGGACTAGCCTATTGGTATCATTATCATGTATTAGACTTGTGTCCTCTCCAAAAGAGGCTCCGGGCAGGTCACAATAAAAAAAAGAAGAATTTTCAAGGCCGATAAAAAATATTAATAGGTAAGAAAACAAATGTCTCAGACAACGCCCCAAAACTCAACCCTGTCTGCTGAAGATCTGCTCAAATTAAAAGGTGTTACCACATTGCAGAAGATTTCAGGCTCAGGCTCTGATGAACCACAAGGATGAACTACCACGAATGACCTCCTGGGTGTTATCACCAAGCACTGATGGGATTTGCAGGAAGCATGCAGTATAAACTTTAGGTCCCAGTTTAGGTCCATAAGGCCAAATTTAGTTCTTTCATTTGCTTATAGGTAGTGAAGAGTAGGATCTAGCACAGCAGGATTTTACAGAGTTGCCACAAAATCAGTGGCAGAACCCAAACCAAGAAAAATGTGTCCCGCGATTCAGTAGCTTATATTCTGACTCACTAAAATGATCAACTGAAGCTCAGACCTTTTAAATCGAACCCTTTAAAGTATGATTCATTTAATATCACTACATTTGATTAGACAAACACTAAATAAATGAGCAGTAACCACTCATGTAGACGTGCCAACTGTGTCGTTGGTACACTATTCTGGGTAAGAAGCAAATAAATGTATCAATGCAGGAATAAACTTGTTATCCTACAAAAACTACCAGTTTTTACAATAATTTTGACATAGTAATCATGTAGATGTTGACAGAGGAAGAAAAGGGGCGAAGGAAATAACTTTAAAAGAAATGAAGCCTGTTGCATGTAAACATAATGCAGAAGGAATCAAAAGAGAAAAGTAAGCTTAGTATCCTGTCCAAAATATGTGAATGGCTAGAAAGACCCATCTAAGAAGTCAGTAGAACAAGCTAACTGTAGAGCAAGTTTATGCTTATAAATATGGGGGTATTTTTCAAAGGCACACATGGCAATTTGTGGTCTGCTCTGTGTTGACAATGTTGTAGGATAGGATTTGAAAATCTCCCCCAGTAAGTGTGTGTGCATGCACACACATGCACAGGGATGCACATGAAACAATTCCGTGACGTTCAATGCCCAAGGGAATCATTATGATTATTTCATTGGACCTCCAGTACCATAAAAGCCCCAGCACTTCCCCCAGTGATTCCTGTAGTTATGCGGTATTAAGCTGTCAAGTGTTGTGTGCGGGTAAACCCCTGCACCCATTTAGATAACGACCATGGCTCGGTGAGGCTCAGCATGGGTGCTCACATGGAATTGAACACAGGATCTGGGCCGTTGTTCGGCTGCATGATTTCTCCCTCATTCGCTGCACTGGAACTGAGAAGTTGGGGTATTAATTCCACAAGTACCCAAGCACCCACAGCAGAGTTGTTGTGATCTGTGAAGGATCTTTGAAATAAAGAAAGAGTGCAAGATCAATGAGGTTATTTGCACATTAAAAGTAATGGAGTAGGATGGGCCATTATCTAGGCAAAAGTCCCATTGGAGCCACTAGGAATTTTGCCTAATAAATGCATGGAGTTGATCCCATTTCCCACTGAGCCATGTCATGGACACTTCACAAAACCATTGATCACATTTTTCAGCATTTTTTTTAAAATGCACCTTTAATGTAACTTTCCCCTCCCTTCAGTAACTGGGAAAAGTGCAAAAGTTAATATGGGCATATTAATGTGTTCAGGTGCATTATGCTTCAGAAGAGATGAAGCACAGAAAACTGAATAATTTGTCTTTGCATGAGTTATAGCCCTAAGGCAGGAAAATTAAACAGGGGGGATTTTTTCCCACCAGTGTTAGTGTTTTCAACATGTAAAATATAGGATTTGGTCTCTCTCTGTGTAGATTTCAGCCCCTGAGAGCAATAGGGGCATTCTCTTCTGAATAAATGTCAAATAAAGAATGTATAATCCAAAGCCATGATGTTCAAAAGTGACAGGTGACACCAGATGCCTCAGTTCTTGGGTGAGCAGCTTTCAACACAGCTTAAAGAAGCCTGAGGTTGTGCACAAAGCACTGATGGCAAATCAGGCCTCTTTTAAGGTGAGTTGAGTCACTCACCTAGAAGTGGATGTACCCCAGAACCACAGGCTTCTTTGAGAAATCTGGGGACAAGGAAATGATCTGACATTAAGTGGCTTAACTTGCCAGCAGTTGCTAATGTTTCCCAAGTTCTGCTTCTTTTCAGCATTTGAAATGCTTTGTTTCCCTATCATTTGGGGAAAGTTGTACACCAGAACATGTAATTTTCCTTTTACAGTCCATTTGAAAGTTATTTGAAAGGAAGAAAATACTTTTTCTCCCCCCCCTCCCCCCCCCCGCAAAATGTGTAATTGTTTTGAACTTAACTGCACATCTGGAAATCGGAGGGGGAGCAATTTAGAGGGCGTGAGCGATTTGAAACATTTCACGTTCTTTGCATGGAGCTGAACTTTTTTGAAGTCGTGCTTCCTTATTTCTGAACAAAGCGGGCCGTTCTGCCCCTGCCTTCCCCTCCTGAATTGTGCTTTTTGTGCCAGGGTGCAATAAACAGCGTGCTTTAAACTGGAGCTCTCCAGACTCTCATTCTCTTTTGAAAAGCGTAGGCAACTAATCGGCAGCACCCAGCCACATAGCTGGAGTGTTTTCCATACTAGGCAATATTATACTAATTTGATGCACACATGGATGCTTCACACAATCTGCAAATTCATCGCTGGCAACTTGCATGAGTCATCTGACAGATTGCCAAGCGTTTCATATTCCTTTCATGTGACTTTATTACAAAACACACCAGCACTGCCTTATTTCTGCCAATAGCCAGTTTTGTACGAATATGCTGCAGTTCTGTTTACAACGGTCTTGTAAAGAAACCTCGACTTATTCCTAACTGTCTGCTGCGTTAAGATGCAGAGGTTCCAACTTGGGGCTTATGTTTTGCAGCTTTTCTCTTACATCATGGTATTAAGCAGCAGTCTGCCGTGAGCACCAGAGTCAGTGAGAAATGTAATTGCATTGTTTTGGGGGTTTTTTGTAATATTTATGTTATTAATTAAACATGGGATTTAGTCCCCCTTTGTGCCCATTGACATCATCATCTTATATACCAAGTATCAAAATTGCTTCATTTCCTAATTGTGTCTTTTTTTTTTTTTTAAATTTTTTTTTTCAATTAAGCAGCAGTCTGCCGTGAGCACCAGAGTCAGTGAGAAATGTAATTGCATTGTTTTGGGGGTTTTTTGTAATATTTATGTTATTAATTAAACATGGGATTTAGTCCCCCTTTGTGCCCATTGACATCATCATCTTATATACCAAGTATCAAAATTGCTTCATTTCCTAATTGTGTCTTTTTTTTTTTTTTAATCTTCTTGTTCAACTTTGTAGTAACGGCACAGCTAACAAGATGAACGGAGCTTTGGATCACTCAGACCAACCAGACCCAGATGCCATTAAGATGTTTGTTGGACAGATTCCACGTTCATGGTCGGAAAAAGAGCTAAAAGAACTTTTTGAGCCTTACGGAGCTGTCTACCAGATTAATGTTCTCCGAGACAGGAGTCAGAACCCTCCCCAAAGCAAAGGTATGGTAGTAGTAGCAATGCCGTGTGCATTTGGCTTTCAATTTTAAAACATGCCAAGTGGTTTGCATTTGGGGCATCTGTTTCAAAGCATGTTGTACGGAGCCGTGCAGTTGACCTAGGAAGAGAACTTCTCTCTACCTATCGATTACTGTCTTCCTCCTCCTCTTAAATTACAGTTTAAATGCCTGATACCTGGAAGAGAGCAGTCCAACTGTGCAAAAAATAACAAAGAGTGCTGTCCTTGTTTAAATTATTATTGCCAAGAGGCAGAAAGAAACCAAAGCAGCCAGTTTCCCAGGATTAGCTCATGAAAAATATAATTTTCTACCTCCTTTCACTTCCTCTCTTAGCACCACAGGTGGGAATAATTCTTGGGATACAAGGGAAAAGAAGGCAGAACTGGGCTATTGCTGTGTCATCACTTCAGAGATAATAAAAGATGTGATCCTGCCTCATTTCCACATTTGTTTCTCTTTCAGTCACATTGGGGATTGATTTAGGCACTGTTACATCTCTAAAAGACAGTATTCCTTCCCCACATTGTGTAATATATCCACCCTGAACTCTCTCTGTGTGCACATAACTATATACTTGCATATATGCATATAAATACGTGTGTGTGTGTACACATACATGCACAATTCAAGAGACAAATATTTTGCACGTCTATCACAGAACACTTTTTTTTTTCTCAGATAAAACCCTTTTCATTTTTTTTAAGCATTTTCTTATCTTCTCCAGAATGTGTGTGCGAAGTTATTATCAATGTTGGAAATAATTAGAGTGAACTTTATGACATTTTGATCCCTCCAGATGTATATCCATGCCTGGATCTGGGATTTACTGGATGCTTTTTTTTCAGCCTTAGTCTTCCCTTACTACTGCTTCAAAAACCTTTTACGTTCACATGCTATGGAGAACATCAGAAAGTGATCTTGTGGCTAGCCACTGATTAACACTGTAGAGAAACACTCTATAAAGATTCCCATTTCATCTGGATTTGATTGCTCTTCTTTGGGAGCAATCCAGGGTTTTGGATGCACCATTTTCTTCTGTTCTCATTGCATCTATCAGGGATTAGAGTTGCCTGTCAAATCCTGCAGCTGTGCTGCTGGGACACTGATCACAACTCTTTGACCTATTTTCCTTCCTATTACTCACTCCTGTTGTAACCCAGTAGAACAACTTGATCTGTCCTCATACTTTGTAGCCTCACTAATGCTTTTCATATTCCCTCCATACATTACTACTCCCCACCAGAACAACTCTTGACCTTGGCATTGAGCAGATGTATAGAAAGAGTCTACACCAGCCTATTCAGGTGCATAACGGGTGCATCTACACAAGACATTTACTGGGCAGTTGACTGATTAACGGCACAATGAATATCTCAGCGACTCTACATGCGCCCCTAGGGTGCACAAAATGAATCAACTCTGCAGCAGGATAGGACTTGTAAATGCAAGCCTTGTAAACACAAGCCTACCCTGCTGCGGAGTTGGGTTTTTTTGTGTGCAGTAATGCACATGTAGACGCTGAGCCAGCCGGCTGGGGCACAAGGGTGCTTCGGTTTCAGGGCTGCCTGCTGGCTGGCCCTTGTGCCCGGCTTTAGCACATTAACCCTGGTCAGAGCAGCCCTGGGCTGTCAGGCTGACCCCCAGGTCCCCTGCCAGACAGCTGCTGCGACCCAGCTCAGTGTGCTGCGCTCTGGGTGCATGTGTAAATCATGCACCCGGGAGCATCCCGGGAGCAATAAATTGAGCAGCAATAAGCTCCACCATTTATTGCTGCCCCCTAATGGCACGTGTAGACGTGCCTAATAATGTTCATATTCCAGCCTGAATCAGCCTCATGCTTTGGTACCCATAAAACCTGAAGCCTTTTCTTATTGCAGAATATCTGTGTAGTTCTTCCACCTTCAGCTTTATACGTTTTCTGACAAAGCAGGGACAATGCATCTCAGCAGAGACCCCTACTGAGTTAGTGCTGTGTTTTGACTGTGTGTCTTTATCTCTAATGCTGGATAGAAGACAGTATTAAGAGGTCACGCAACTGGATTTACCAAAGTCAAGGCTGATATGGATGAGTAAACTCCTACTTAAGTTAAACCACCAGAATGCTGAACTTGGAGGCTGGCTCTTTGAAAACCTGATTCCTGTCCCACAGAAGCACTTTTCCCCTAAGCTGCAGATGAAGTAAGGATGACATTGTGGGGAGACAAAAAGAAGCTCATTGATTTCCATGCCTGTGATGTTTCCTATTATTTATCACCTGTCTGTCAGGAAACCTGAAGGTATGAAGATTAAGTGCAGGCCATGCAAATCTGTATACACCAATTATCAAGACTGTATTAGTTCCCCTCTTTGAATGCTGGTCTTAGCTTGGCTCTCTTTCCCACCAGGGGCACAGGCAAATGATATGCCACTTCCTTCTTGTTTTGTTTTAAATGAATTTGGTCATAGACAAACCTACAGACTTCAGCTTTCATGATACAGCAGCCAGCTATATTATCAGTGAGATTCATCCATGGAAATCACCTATGAGGTGTCAAGATCTATCTCCATTCCCATTCAGTCCTTTCCATCTCTGCACAGATAGACATCCAGGGTGCTAAATTGGACACCTCTACAGTCTTTTGTGGATTCCTCTCTTTTAGGAATAGGAGTTACTTGTATAAGTGAGGATACAAGGGACCCTTTGCCTGACAGAGAATTTTTTTTTTAAATGAAAAAGACCTTTTTTTTATTTACCAGTGGTATCTGTAATAGTCACATCAACACCAAGAATATGCGGGAAACACTTTGTCATTAGGGGACCAGCTTTAGACTCGTCTTCATATTGTGAGAGATAATCGAAATCAGTGTTTTTAGACAACTCGCACATGGGAAAACACACAAATTCCCATTAATCAAGATGGGTGGACTGGAATACAGGTTGGTAGCTACCTGAAATCTCTCCACATTGCCTAGCATCTTATGGGACAATGTCTTGTAAGGTTAGCTCTGATAATCAAAGAGCTCTGGGCAAAGGCATAACAAGTAAGATCTGCAAACCTGGTGGCCACACTTATGTGCCTGACGGTCCCCTCTACCTGCTCTGGTGATGCATCCCCTCCTCTCTGCCTCTGCAGTGCCCTATACCAGGGGTGGGCAAAATGGTAGATCCGGCCTGTGGCTGGACTCCATTTCCCAGCAGCAGCAGCTCCTTTGGCTGCCACTGCTTGACCCAGCCCCACTGCCCAGGCACCCAAACCCCTACTCCCTGCACCCACCGCGAGGGACAGGACCCACGTGGGCAGGGCGTGCAGACAGGCAGCTGGGATGGGGCTGCAGTTGAGAGTGCAATGGGTGGGCAAGGCTTGCTAGACCCCAGGATCTTGGGGCAGTGACAACATGGAGCCAGGGCCGGAGCAGAGCTGCAATTCACTCCCTGCACACCACTGCCCTTGGAAGCTACACTTGTCGCAAGGGTGTGCAGGCTGCAGATTGCAGCTCGTCCCTAGCCCCAGCCCTGGCCTCAGCCCTGCGCTGTCACTGTCCCAAGATCCCAGGGTCTCCCTGGCCCCAGCTGCCCATTTGCTCTCAGCTGTGGCCCCATCCCAGCTGTCTGGCTGCGTGTCCTGCCTGCATGGGTCCCGTCCCCAGTGGTGGATGCAGGGCAAATGGGCAGGGGTGCCCAGGCAGCGGGGCGGCGGTCAGTGTTGGCAGCCAGAAGGAGCCGCCGCTGCAAGGGCTGCCAGGAAATGGAGTCTGCTTGGCATATCACCGTGTATGAAGAATTTACAGGGCCAAATTTAGCAACAAGGGTGAGAGACTGGGGTACAGAGTGGGGCAGTGCAGAGGGGGTTGCAGAGAAACAGGAATGAATAGTACATGCCAGAGCAGCAGTCAGAGGGGACCAAGGGAGGGAGCAATGTGAGAGTGCCCAGCAGATTTAGGAACCACTAATCAGAACAGGCAAGCACAATACTAGTCTATAAGAAGACGCCCCCTTTAAATCTTGAGGGCACCCCCCCCCAAGTCAGTGCCCAGAAATCTTGCCCTCTTTGCGCACCCCAAGTTATGCTACTGGCTTTAGGTTTTCCATTGCAAGGGCATGGATTTTCATCAGGACAGAACAACATTAAGAGAATTTCCTGGCATCCTGCAAGTCATGAATTGCAAAGGTGCTTGAGCTGGTCCATCAGTTTAAATGCACTCTATCTTAACAGTGTACGATGTTGAGTTTTAGAAAGACTTTGCTCCTGGTAGACTAGGGCTCTGCTTCTGTCAGCTTGGCTGAAGGGGCTCCTCCAGTCCAGGCAGGATGCGTCTCCGATGAGCTGTTTGTGAGACTGCAGCCTGAGCCTCTTTCAGCTATGTCAAAAATAACCACAGGCTGGTTCTTTCTCCTCTGCTGTCATTACACTGTCTTTTCACCCTCTAACTATGAATGTCCTAGTTCACTTGTCTCCTAGTTTTTTGTATTGCTTGCCAGTTCTATGTAGCTGAAGTTGGAGAAGGCAGAAGACAGGCTGATAGAAAGCAAGGCTTGGCTCACTTTGGCGAAGTCTCTTAAAGTACACTTCATTTTTCTTATGACATGAGGCCTTAGAGGCTCCTTTTTGACTGGGAGTGGACATTGAAGATCCAGTGGGACCTATCCAGGTGTTAAGCCAAGTGTCGTCTTCAATATTCTGCCTCTAGTATCCCATATGGGATATACATTTATGTTCTATTCCGTTATTTGTCCTCAACCTGTGCAACTTTTTGCTAATCAGATACTTTTCTATCCAAAGAGCACTTGCATTTCACTGGTGAGAATCATATTCTCTCATCATATGCCAACCACTGAAACATTCAGGCATTTGCACCTCTCCATTCACTGTATGTGTGCACATGCGTGTGTTGTGTCGTGTGTGTGGGTGCACACACTTCTCCAGTTAGTGTGTGTGCGTGTCTGTATGTGCTTTGAATAGCTCATTGAGGCTTATGTACATGCAGGTATTAATATTGTACTCC